AAAAATGTACAAAAGGATGAAAGATCCCCCCTTCGACCCTTCCAAACATTGATTCGGGCAGTCCAGAAGGCAACCCCCGATTCGCGCGCCGGGAACGACGACGTGCGACAGCGCGAACCGGACAGCACGCAGAAACACAAGCATGTCTGCGACAAGACTCCGCACACCGCGACGGTCAAAAACATTGGGGGGCAACACAGATCGTGGATGTGGAAAATTGCTTGCCTTCATAAATGCCCTTGAAGGGGTTTGTGGGGGTTGCCGACGGTGACAACGACCGTGTCCCTTATTTTCGGCAACTCCCATAAACCCCTTGAAGGGCATTTCGGAGGGCGATCAATTTCTCGCACCCACAGTCCTCTTGCAATCAACTCACACTCGAAGCTCCAGGCATCATGCGAAGGACGGTTAGGTTTGCGCCGTCCCCCAAAGTCCGCCAGGATCCGAACTTGGTGGATTCGCCTGCATTTAGAACGGGCGGATGGCGTTTGCGTAGAAGCAGGCGATGCTCGGGCGCACCGCATTTTGGGGCGTCGATGAACGAAGATCCACGGCACACCTGAAATGGACCCGGCCAGTGACGCCTTCGTCCACCCCAGTAAACCCCTTTCAGGCCAACTCACGAGGCGAGGAGTTTCGCGTACTACCAGGCCGCCGGCATTGAAGACAGACGGAGAAGTCCAAGCCGTTGAAAACAACGGTCAAATTCACACGGACCCTTGAAGTCCGCCATGATCCGAATTTGGCCGGTGCTGGAGTAGCAAAGAACCTGTTTTTGCGCGGTCGGTGCCAGTGGAACGGAGCGCCAGCGGGTGCACACAAGGAACGCTATGCTTGGCCACACAGAAGGAAGGCTTTGCCGCTCTCAAGTTGTCGTTGTACGACAGCACGCGCAGATGAAAGGGTAGTGGTGGACGCACCACAACAAAATCGGGCGCAGCGCGACCCCAAACCACGAAGTCCGCCCGGATCCGAACTTGAGATCGGTTGCCGCGTTCGACCGGGAGCATGAAACACTTTGCTTTTCTTGGGGTCCCATTGAAATTTGCGGCACCGCCCCCCAAAAAACAGTCATGTAACCAGGACTCTTAGCAGCTTGCGACTTCGCATGCTTGAGATCGCAAGTCCGCCAGGATCCGAACTTCGTCGCACGCTGACAACTGGCAGGGCGTTTTCACACCTGCGCGCACTCTCCCTGCGCCGGGATCCGAACTTCGTCGCACGCTGACAGTCGCGTGTGAAAGCTTGCCGAAAAGGGAACTTCGGATGCCGGCGAACTACAGCAATCATGCGCTGTTTTCATACCTGCACGTGCTCTCCCTGCGACCGCGCGACGGCAACTGTTTGCCGCTTTCGCGAGAGCAGTGCGCATGATTGTTGTAGTTCGCCGGGATCCGAACTACCCAATTCGCCAGGCAACAACACGCCACGCGCCGTTTTCTGTTTGGTTGTTGTTGGTTTCGCGCTTGCAGTCACAATGGCGATCGTTTCCTGGCACCGACGCACCCCACATGCCCTCGCATGTCCCTCCGCCTGCCAAGTCGCTGTCCACGTCATATTCGACGTTGCTACTGCTCTTCTTACTCGAAAGGCGCGACCATCACCCCACGCAGCACCCTCGCAAACGCAAAGCACACACCCAAAGGTCGACAACGTGCCGTCACGTTTAACGTCGGGGTTCGCGCTCATCTCAACTCGACAGTTTCACACGGTGAGTGCGCACGCAGCCGGGACGTATGTTTGCATTTGCGCGGGTGTTGGCGGGTTTTGTGATGATATGCTTGCGCAGATCGAAAGAGGTCGTGTCTGCATGTGTGCCGGTGGGCGTGTGTGTGTGTGTGTGTTTGTGTGCGAGTGTGTGCTTGCGCGTGCTTCATTGTTTTCATGTGTGTTCGAGTGCGTGTTCCATTGTGTACGTGTTCGTATGAAGTGTGTGCCACACGCGCGAGGCAGGATCGTGCACGTGTCTGTGCTTGAGGGGCGTATGTGTGTGGGCGCCGTGCGGCGGCGTGTGTGTGTGTGCGTGTGTGTGTGTGTGTGTGTGTGTGTGTGTGTGTGTGTGCGTGTGCCTGTCTGTGCATATTTGTTCGCGTGTGTGTGTGTTCGTGCACATTGAGTGTGGGGAGATACGCGCTAACGTGCGAGGTCAGGGATGAGAGACATAATTTCCACTTCGATTCCCCGAATAGCGCTTGTGTGTGGATGTTCGAGGAAAGTATCAAAAACGATTGCGCTCGTGCTGTGTTCAACCTCATCTTGCCACACTCGACTGATCCTGATTGATCCCAATGTCACGTCCGCCGATCTGCCCAATGGATGATCAATCGGAACACGCGGTGGCAGTGTCGATACAGCGAACGCATCCATCGACCAATCGCGAAACACGATGAGATCACTCGTGATCAGGTGATTGATCGTGTCCGCCGTGTCGACGTTATCACCGCGTGTGTGTTGTTCGTTCTGTCGTCTGTGTTCAGACCACTCGTGATCGGATGATCGATCTGATCCATGACAATATGCACACCACACACGTGATGAATCGACCCATCACCAAACACAAGCCGACCACTCGCGATCGGGTGATAGATGCTGTTAGCTGCCCCAACAACATCGCCCCTGATCTGCCAAACGGATGATTAATCAATGCACGAGGCGACAATGTCTGGATCACAAACGCATCCAAGCGACCAGGCAATATATTACTTGCGATCGGACGATTGCTCGTGTGTGCTGCATCGAAGACGTCGCCGATTGTGTGTTTCGATCGTCTCAATGGCAAAACCAAAACACACGCGGCGATGTGCATGCGTGCGTGTGTGTTTGCGTGTGCGTGTGTGTGTTGTATGAGCACCATAACCTGTTTTATGTTTCACAATGCGATGTGCGTGCGCATGTTTCTGTGCGTCTGCGTGTGCGAGATGCAACCCGTCGGCGAGCGACCTGTTTATCTAACCACCTGATAGTCATGGACTGAACAGTCGATTGGTCAGGGAATCTGCCTGGATCAACTGATTGGTGATTGATCAACCACCACACCAACCGCCAACCGAGCAGCCGATCAATCAGCTGATACTGGCAGATTTCATGACCAATCGACTGTTCTGTGCACATTGATCGCGGAGAATCCTCAAGGCAAATGATCATGTGCACGATCGAAACCCGCGAACAAATCACACAACCTTGTCACAATGTTGTTGCACATCGAAAGTAGATCCCGATCTGCGAACGGAAGAAAAGCACTTCGTCACAATCTTGTTGCACATCGAGCGTCGTATAACATCGAACCCGGCTCCACACCAAACCTCGGCGGGCGTGGAACCTCGTCGGACGTCGAACTTTGGAGGACGTCGGGTCATCGACACTTGACGGTCACTGGACGGCGAACGCTGAGCAGCCACCACCCCACGCATCGTCGGTACAGTCCTCGTCATCGGAACGTGACCGTCCTAATCCGCCAGCACAAACTTGGCAGTGCCAACCGAACTGATCTCGCAATCAAACACCGGAAGAAGTCCGGATTCCGGCGAGCTTGAACAGCTGTTCGAACACGCTTCGCAACCCCGAACCGCAACCACAGCCGCGGACATGTGAAAATTTGAAGTCCGCCGGGATCCGAACTTCAAGAAATTGTTGGACGGCGAGTTTGGCAAACAGGTGTGTCTCTCCCACGCAGTTTCGCGAAGTTCGTACCTCGGCGAACTTCAGGTTCCCGCCTTTCGCTAGACATGTTTGCGGCTCGCCCGCTGGCTTGTGGATCCGAACGTCGCTTGCATGACTCCTTGCACAATCGTCAACTCCGGACCTCGATGAACTTCGGATTCGTGAAAATGCGAAGTCCGCTGGGATCCGGACTTGTCCTTCACGGTTCCTCGCACGGACGTCAAGTTCGGACCCTGGCGAACGGCGAACTTCGCTTTCCGCATTGTGTGGGTTCTGATTGCGGACTTTCCAGTGCCCGAGGGATTGGCACAACTACGGATTCGAAAAATGTGAAGTCCGCCAGGATCCGAACTTCTCGCGCACGGCTCAGTCGCCGAGTTCGCCGGTTGTTTCTCTCCCGTGCGATTTCGCCAAGTTCGGATCCCGGCGAACAACAGGTTCCCGCCTTTCGCTGGACATTTTTGTGGCTCGCTTGCCCTCCCGTGAATCCGAACCTCGCGTGCCCGGTTCCTCGCACGTTTGCCAAGTTCGGATCCCAGCGGACTTTGGATTCGTGAAAACGCAAAGTCCATCGGGATCCGAACTTCTCGTGAACGGTTCCTCGTACACTCGTCAAGTTCAGACCCCGGCGAACTTCGCTTCCCACATGGTGTGGGTTCTGTCTGTGGGCTTTCTCGCGCCCGGTGGTTTGCCACAACTTTTGTTTCGCAGAAATGCGAAGTCCGTCGGGATCCGAACTTCTCGCGCACGGTTCCTCGTCCCATCATCGAGTTCGCCAGCTGTGTCTCTCCCACGCGATTTCGCCAAGTTCGGATCCCGACGAACTTGAGATTTCCTCCTTTCGCAATTCGTGTTTGTGGCCAGCCTGCTGGGCCGTGCATCTAAAACTGTCGTGCACGGTTCCTCAGACAGTCATCAATTTCGAATCCCAACGAACTTCGGATTCGAGAGAATGCGAAGTTCGCTGGGATCCGAACTTCTCGTGCAAGGTTCCTCGTGTAGTCGTCAAGTTCGGACCCAGGCGTACTTCAATTTTCGGGTGGTGTGGGTTCTGACTGTGGGGTTTTCTGGCGGCCGATGGATATCCACAACTTCGGATTCTTAAAAATGTGAAGTCCGCCAGGATGCGAGCTTCAAGAACTTTTGGGACGCCGAGTTTGAGAGACAGCTTTGTTTCTCCCGCGCAGTCTCGCCAAATTCTGATCACGACGAACATGAGGTGCCCAACTCTTGTGGGACATGATTGCGGGTGGCCGGCCGGCCGGCAAATGTGCACACCGACCAGGTCAACCCCTCGAAATCGGATCTTCGAGCGTGCGTTCCGTTTGATGCCAAGGGTAGCAGATCGCGAAACAAGATGTGTTTACGAGTGTCTCCGTGCCCGTGTGTGTCGTTTGGCATGTGCGCGTGTTGTGTAGGGTGCGTAATGGAGGTGACCTTCTCGACACCACGAATCGTGGATCCCATCTTCTCGACACCACAAACCATGAGTCCCGAGATGCACATTCGCTTGGCAGAACCGTTTCCTCCTTGCGCGCGATCCGTGCGGTATTTTAACGGTGTAACTATGATCCACGGAGCGACCGCAGAGGACTTCGACGAGGACCCCTGGATGACCGTCGTCCCGTGCCTGGAGGGGCATGTTGACGGCTGGTGCGATTGGAATTGGGCCACGATGGAGAGTCGTTGTCCTTGGGCAAGCCAGTACAAGTTCGCCAACATGTTGGAGTTCGGGAACCTCATCCCGGTGTCTGACGCTGTCCTCGGACACAAGTTCTTGAACCACATGCGCAAAGCACAGGGCTGCATTAGCCGCCATTTCAGCCGCCTCGAGTGCCACTACGTCAGGTCGTCGCCACGAACTTGGGGATGCCCCCGGAAACAAGAGTTGGTGGATTGCGCTCGCCACTGCTCATTCCTAGAGCACTACCCGCTCCGCTGCCCCGGGAATTCTCCACAAGTTGTGTCATACTGTTGTGTGTGATTAACTGTGTCCGGGTCTGATTTCGCCAGAGTTCTGTGTGTCGCTGCTTCGAACAAGAGCAGGAAACTCGTCGATGCAGTTGTGCTTGTGTCACGCAACGAGGTGGTGATTGAGGGGTCCAAATTCGTGGAGACGCTCGGGCCTGAACGTGTAGATGGGTGGCGTGATTTGGTTATAGCAGGGCGGGTCCGAAACTTTTCGATGCATCGTGAGGTCGAGGAGAAAGTGTACGATATACGGGACTGCATAGGGAATTCCTTTGCACGACCGGGTGTGTTTGTTAGGATGAAATACATGTCCGCCTTTTCCGAGAGGACATCGGTAGACGAATCGCAGATCCACGTATACGGATCATCAATGAATGCTTTGTATGGCTTCGGTTCACTACGTCGTCCCAGGGGAACCCCGAATGTCAACACATCTGAACGAGAGGTCTGTCTCTGACGTCGTCTCCTTCACTGTCGCGCCCGGCGAAGTTTGGATCCTGGAGAACTTCGCATTTCGGGGTGTGCGTTGATTTGGCTTCGGTACTGTTGGCGTCGGGCGGGCCGCACGAACCAGCGGGGCCCACGGGCAAGGTCTTGCTTGAGGCCGCAGGCCCGTCCGACCGGCCTTCGAGCTACAAGTGTTTGTCGGAGACCTAAATCCGGCTGGGCGCGGCGTTCGTAACAGATTTGCGACCAGTTCCGCCTGGGCACGTTCGCATCAAAGACCGCCGCCAACTGGAGTGCAGTGTGCCCTGCCCGTGTTCGGTTGCCGCCCGTCCACCATCGACATGTGCCAAACAGTCGATCATTGTCTTTTCGAAATGCCAAAAGCACTCTTAGGGATCCCAGTCGCAAAGTTCGACGTTGGCCGAACAATTCTGAAGTTCTCCCTCCAACACCTTGCTCGGACCCCGTCTTCTGTCTAACCTCATACGTGATCTGGTATTTCTCTCTGTGTGTCTTTCTCGAAGCGTCCTTAAGTTCGGATCCCGGCGAACTTCCTGTGACGCTTGTCTATTGGACACACACTGGTCTTCCTGATCCCCCGTGGAATGCGACAACAGTTCCTGTCCGCGCTGCTCCACACGTTCCGTTCTGCCCCGCCAGGGACCCACACAATGTTGTCAAGGCTGCTGCGCATATCAGAAGAACTTCGGATTTCGGCGAACTAATCCTTCTCAACCGGCCTCTCATGTTTGTGTGCCATTCCCAGGTCGTGTTTTTCTTTGAGTCCATGGATCGTGTGTCTCTGACGCCGTCTCTGCCTGTCGCATCGTCCTGAAGTTCGGATCCCGGCGAACTTCACGATTCGGGAGGTGCATTGGTTTATCTTCGGACATGCCCGTCCGCTAGTTCTCACAACCCGCTCGGTGACGGGGAGAGTCCGTCTCCGACTTCTGGTTTTGATCAAATGCATTTGCAGAGTGTGTTCGCTCGAGAACAGTTCTGGAACGCCGACTGCATGGGCTGGCTGTTTCTCTCTTTCTTTCGCACCGTCTTTTAGTCTGGACCTGGGCGGACTTCGCGTGCTAGTCTGTCCGGGTTCCGAGTGCTGGGCGGAGGACACTACACCGTCCAACGCGATCTTCGAAAATGACCGGCAGTCGTGAAGTTCGGATCCCGATGAACTTCTCGATTTTCCCTATGCGTTGGTCTTTCTTCGTAATTCCGGTGCGCCGTCCACCGCATAAACGGCGCTTGATCCCCGACACTCTGCCTCTCTGCCTCGTGCACTATTGAAATTCGGATCCCGGCGAACTACCCATTCTAGCCGTTCCTAAGTTGGGTTCCGGGGTGTCTTTGCGTGCGGATTTCGCTGCGCAAGAGCATGCGTTGTTGTGTGCCGACGACTGTTCTGTTCCTGATGTGTTTTCCAAAATCTTGACTGCATGGTGCGTGGTGTGATTTGGGTTGTCGTTCGCAGACGGGATGTCTTCTTCAAAGGGCGAGGTGGAGGCAACGGGGACCTCCGAGAAGACATCCGGAAAAGATTCCACGAGGAGGTCGTCTACTGCCACGAAAGGGTGGTCGAACCATTCGAAGTCGAAATGGTTCATCGTCTGGTGCTGTGGAGACGCTTCCAACCCCGCTGTGCAGCCATGTGGTCCTGTCATCTTCGTCGATGACAGCAGAAGGCGTCGAGTGCTTGGGGCCGCCTTGGGGTGGGAGGACGCGAAGGGGGGCCGGCGACATTTCCGTATGGAAAAGGTTTATGGCTCCAAAGGCAACGTCGTTGCCAATTCGAAAGGGGTGTTGTTGGACCCGAATTGTGTGAGGGGTTCGGAGCGGGTGCTGTGGACACCCCGTTCTAGAGAGAACTCGTTCTCGTGGGTGGTTTTGTTTTGGCGCGTGAGTTTTTCCACAAGCTGGAGGACAAGAACATCGTTCTCGACGTCCCCTGCGACGTCGGCCCCTCCCTGGAGCTCTCGTTGCCGTTCAGGCCGTGCGGCGGTTGCGAGTCAAGCAGGGCGGCGGCGGAGGGCGATGATCTGGGTTCTGGTCTGGCTACTCAGCTGCACCACGGCGAGAGTCGGGGACAGTTCGATGACAGCGAGGACGAGGGGCCTGCAGCGCCGTTGAGGGACAGGCGGCGGTCGGTGTTGTCTATTCCAGGGGTCGACATTGGAGATCCGGTTCGACGGGACAGCGCGGAACCTACAGGAAAGGTGGCAGCCTCTTCGGAGGTCGACTTGGAGGCGAGCGAGGGCCAAAGTGTGGATGAGGTGACCGCAGGCGGCCTGGGCACGCAAGGCACTCCGCAAAAGAGGAGGGGGGATCGCACAGACGAGTTCGTCCGTTCTTCGAAGAAGCTGAAGAGCAAGGCCCCCAGGACTGCGGGAGAGAAACGAAAGGGGACCGAGGGGGAGGAGGGCCAGCAGGTTGCCAAACGGCCGGCTTCGAGACAGAAGCAGCCTGCGTCTGGAACGTCTTCTCCACCGACGGAAAGGCCTCCAATCGACATCGACGCCGGGTACTTCCTCGAGTACAAAGACGGCGTTCGGACAAAGAGGGAGTTCGAGGTTAGCCCTGCGCAGGTCGTCGACCTCGGAGAGTGGGAGGACCTGTACAACCAGCGGTCCCTGGATCCCGTGCTCGTGGAAGGGATCAAAGAAGCGATGCGGTTGGCGTTCGAAAACAAAGCGCAGTCTTACGATTTGCCTACCCTGAAGCTGGCACCGTTGGGGCTTGATAAACCGACTCCGGGGACCAAGGCAGAACGTCTGAGGCCGGAGGAATGGAGGGATGAGCTGGCGGGGCAATACTAATACTACGCGGTGTGTGGGCAGCACAATGCGGCTGCAGCGAGGTCGCTGCTCAGCAGCGAGGTGGCCAGGAAATACAATTTCGAGCGGTGGCCTGCACGGACGCTCTACTTTTCGGACGACGACTTCGAAGGGTACTTCCTTGTCAGTTCCCAGGACAACAAGAAGGACCTGAAGGCGCCCCCGAGATAGCTGAAGCTGTCAATGAAAGACATTAGGTGGCAGTGGAAGCGTGATGGGTGTCCGCGTGTTGTTATGGGAAACCCCAGTGGAAAACAGGCTCAGGTCCGAAAGTGGTGTGAATTCTGCGAAGTCGCGCTCAATATGACGCCGCACAACAACTTGTGGACGCTGGCAGATCAGAAGGGCGACGACGCCATCAGATAGCAAGGCACTGCCCTGTGTTCCTATTTCTCGCTAGCGATGGCAGGGGAGAACGTATGGAAACTGGCCGTCGACTTTTTCAATAAATGGGAGACTGGTAGATTGCTCGGCCACGATGGCACAAAGTGGATCATGCGGAAGAAGAAGGTCAAAAATGTGAAGCCCGGGGTTGCCTACGTCGAGAACGACAAGACGGGCAGGAAAGAGGTCGTGTACAACGTCCCTGTGGACCCGCCGACAAAGAAAGGCAAAAAGGAGAAAGAGGAGGGCGACTGGTTCATGCAAGTGCCTGAGCCAGACGCATATTGTTGGAAATCGATGGAGTCGCTGACCGACAACGAGAAGTGTCGCGTCCAGAAGAAGGTTCTCGCTTGCGAGGTGGTTTGGGTCCAGGCCAGCTCTGCGGCGTTGGCGAAGCTCGGGAAGCTGAGCGTCCAGGACATGGTTCATTTGGTGAAGTGCGACCGGGTGCTGGTGCGTCTATGGAACTACTACCAGTTCAAGCACGAGAAGAGGCCGGACGCGGATTGGAGCCAGAGGTGCCCGTTCCTGAAAACAAGGTCCGTAATTTTCAAACAGTTTGAGAGTCGTGGTTTGGATGCAGAGTTGTGGGACGGGAGCAGGAAATACGTTGCTGACTCCTCGTTGTTCAAGGACTGCCCGCCTTATATGGGTTGCGACGACGACCAATCCATCGAGGCGACGGAGAAGTTGGCCGGTCACAAGAAGTTGTCCGTCGATTGGAGGAATAAGGTCCTGTCCGTTTTGACTGGCAGTGGACTGAAGAGTCGCGAGATCGCGCTTGCCGAAGGAATTGTGCACATAAAATGGAAAGACACGGGCGACGTGACATCCATCGCGCCATTCGGCAACGACCCCTTGGAGGCAGACATAAGGTGTGCGGAGGTGAAGGAGGCGGTGGTTGCCACAAAGAGTCACACGTTCGTCCACAATCTCCGCGAACCGGTGGACCTGAAGCTGTGGAAACCGCAAGCGTTCGACACTCTGGATTCCCAGCTTCAGACGTGGTGTCCGTCGCATTGGATGCTCGTCGTTTTCGTCCCGCGGCTGCAGAACCTCTCATTTCTGGCCAGCATGAACCACCTTTCTTTCGTGAAGATGCTGGAAGGGAAGTGGGTGAGGAAGAGTCAACAGAAGAAAAGCTTCCCCGTCGGGAATAATTTGTACACGGAAGAAGACCGGATGTACATACTATTCAAAGGCGACGATTTGCGCACTAACACGTCCGTTGTCTACGAGGGGAAACTGCCGCCTGCCGCCGCTGCTGCAGTGAGGCTGCCGCAGAAGGTTACGCAAACGGATGTGTCCGGCATCCCGTTCAACCCTTGTGATTGGTCGCATGTCTCGCCTACGCGTCGGGGCAGTGTGTACGGGGACATGGAACGCAACCCCGCGCAATTCGTTAATCTTCTCGAGTCCGTCACCAAGAAGGGGGAGGGTGTATGCTTCCTCGGGAAGCCACAC